ATCATTTTTAATAATGTATCTTATTTAACCCTTTGTTAATATCATCATCTCAATGTGCAATCGACATAAAAACTACTCATGAGCCATTTTGCGTGCTGGTAAGTGAAGGCTTGAAATCCAGTGCGTGTTTACACTGAGGGCACATCTGGAGTTGGACCAGTCACATTCCAAGTGCTTGGCAGCCACAGGTGGCCAATGGCCACCGTGGGGGACAGAGCCTGGCCACCTTCAGTGGGCCTCTCAGCCTCTAAGTTCCTACCTGTTTGTCCTCTGCCTTCACCAATTTTGTTTTATCTGTGCTACTGTTTTTTCTTTAAATGAACTCACATCTTAAGCTTTAACAAGCAATTCTAAAAGGGAGTCTTTAGGTCATTATTGTAAATGGAGTGCTGGTAGCAGTTGCTGAAGTAGGTGTCGATCGAGCACAAACGAATCAGGAGGCCTCGGCTGGAAATACATGATGAGGATTCATTTAAGGGCCTTCCGGTTTATAAACCAGAAACACAACTAGACAATGCCTAAGTGTCCTGAAGAAGAAAGAAAAGCTAAGAGTTCTTAAAGAAAAAACTACATTCTTGAGAAGAATCAGTCCTGTATCCTTAGCTTCTGGGTTGGTCTAGCTAGGTAGGAGATAATCGTTAAGGTGGCTGGTGGTCTGGATGGTCATGTCAGGCTGTTGGATATGTGAACATTCTTTTCTATGTCCTTCAGGGGGTGATCAGAGGGTTATCTGTAGTATTTATATCGTATTTATATATGTGTAATCTCCAGGCCTAAGTGGAGAGTTCAAAAATTCAAGTTCCCAGGTTACTTAAAGCAAGAGTAGAATCATTTCCTCACGCCCCAGTCTACTTGATTTTAGTAATTTAACAGCTTGACTACAGGGAGTCCATTTTATTTCTTCACTCTTTCCTCAAAAGTAACCATAGCAACATCACCAAAATGAAAATAATAACCTGTCGGTATGTTGCCTGCGGAGGATATTTTTTCCATTGCTTTTGTAAAAGAGGGGGGACATCGGGAGCTAGAGGGGTGCTAAGTCATCTCTTGTGCCAGACAGAGGTAGCTCCTGGGTGCCCAACGGCAGAGCCCTTCTTTCTGGAGCCAGTGACCTCCAGTCAGGGACACACCTGAAGTTGAGCAAGTTGGGCTGAGTCCTCATTGACCTTGAGTGGGTGAGAGCACAGCACAGGGCCGGGGGGAGCTTGGTAAGAGGCTGTGAGGAAGAAACTAGGGCAGGGTGTGGGCTTCAGTTGGTTGATTTGGAGGAGGGTCTAAGTGACCTGAAGAGATTGGTGTGCGCATGAAATAAGGCACATAGTAGGTGCATCGCCATGTGGCATCCTGTCTGTCCCTCCCCTGCTCCTCATGGGCAGGGGACTTGGAGGGACTCTGGGACCTGCCCCTGGACCTCTTGGCCAGGCAGGAGCTGGAAGTCTCGGGGCTCTGGGGTGAGTGTTAGAGCCTGGCCCTGCCCACCTGCAACCTCTGCCCAGAAGGAACCTCTACAGACCTCAGAGGAAGCAGCAGGTCCCCAGTGCCAGCCTAGGGCCATTTCTGGGACCTGGACCAGATGTGCAACGGGGGACTCAGCATGACCCGAGGGCCCAGATTTCTGGCTTCATTGGTCTCTGTCACTCAACCTGGGCCATCCCCTAAGGCCCATGGAAGATGGAAGCTCTGTCCCCTGGTGCAATGACACTGACATCAAGTGATGGGGGAGGAAAGGTAAATTATGGAGAGTATCATGGGGCTTGAATCCAATCAATAGTTAATATTTACTGAGGGCTTTGTGTGTGGTTGTATTTTTTAATACTCTTTTGTGTGTGAGTGTAAGAGAGCATTTTTGACTTGAAACTGGAGATAATTGTAGATCTTCATGCAGTTGAAAGAATAATACAGAGAGATTCTGCGTATTCCCCAGCTCCCCTGACAGTAGCATCTTGCAAAACTGTAGTGCAAAGGTCACAGTGGGACACGACAGTGGTGCAGTCCACCAGTCTCGCAGAGGTAGCTCCTGGGTGCCCAATGGCAGAGCCCTTCTTCCTGGAGCCAGTGACCTCCAGTCAGGCCCCTGGGACACACCTGAAGTTGAGCAAGTTGGGCTGAGTCCTCCTTGACCTTGAGTGGGTGAGAGCACAGCACAGGGCCTGGGGGAGCTTGGTAAGAGGCTGTGAGGAAGAAACTAGGGCAGGGTGTGGGCTTCAGTTGGTTGATTTGGAGGAGGGTCTAAGTGACCTGAAGAGATTGGTGTGCGCATGAAATAAGGCACATAGTAGGTGCATCGCCATGTGGCATCCTGTCTGTCCCTCCCCTGCTCCTCATGGGCAGGGGACTTGGAGGGACTCTGGGACCTGCCCCTGGACCTCTTGGCCAGGCAGGAGCTGGAAGTCTCGGGGCTCTGGGGTGAGTGTTAGGGCCTGGCCCTGCCCACCTGCAACCTTTGCCCAGAAGGAACCTCTACAGACCTCAGAGGAGGCAGCAGGTCCCCAGTGCCAGCCTAAGGCCATTTCTGGGACCTGGACCAGATGTGCAACGGGGGACTCAGCATGACCCGAGGACCCAGATTTCTGGCTTCATTGATCTCTGTCACTCAACCTGGGCCATCCCCTGAGGCCCATGGAAGATGGAAGCTCTGTCCCCTGTTGCAATGACACTGACATCAAGTGATGGGGGAGGAAAGGTAAATTATGGAGAGTATCATGGGACTTGAATCCAATCAATAGTTAATATTTATTGAGGGCTTTGTGTGTGGTTGTATTTTTTAATACTCTTTTGTGTGTGAGTGTAAGAGAGTATTTTTGACTTGAAACTTGAGATAATTGTAGATCTTCATGCAGCTGAAAGAATAATACAGAGAGATTCTGCATATTCCCCAGCTCCCCTGATGGTAGCATCTTGCAAAACTGTAGTGCAAAGGTCACAGTGGGACACGACAGTGGTGCAGTCCACCAGTCTCATCTGGCCTTCCTAGTTTTACACGTGCTCATCGTGTGTGTGTGTGTGTGTGTGTGTGTGTGTGTGTGTGTTTGTGCGCACGCGCGTGTGCTTAGTGTTTGCGAGTCTATGTTTACGTAGCTTTGTGTGTCCACCACCGCAGTCACAACACAGCGCAGGTCCATCACAAGCATCTCATGAACTGCCCTTGTACAGCCGCACCTCCCTCCCGCCGCCTCTGCCCCATTATTAACCCCGACTCACTAATCTGTTGCAGTGCTAAAATTTTGTCATTCTATAGCAATAGAACTGTACAGTATGCGATCTTTTGAGGTTGGCTTTTTCATTCAGGATCATTTCCCTTGACCTTGAGTGGGTGAGAGCACAGCACAGGGCCTGGGGGAGCTTGGTAAGAGGGTGTGAGAAAGAAACCAGGGCAGGGTGTGGGCTTCAGTTGGTTGATTTGGAGGAGGGTCTAAGTGACCTCAAGAGATTGGTGTGCGCATGAAGTAAGGCACATAGTAGGTGCATCGCCATGTGGCATCCTGTCTGTCCCTCCCCTGCTCCTCATGGGCAGGGGACTTGGAGGGACTCTGGGACCTGCCCCTGGACCTCTTGGCCAGGCAGGAGCTGGAAGTCTCGGGGCTCTGGGGTGAGTGTTAGGGCCTGGCCCTGCCCACCTGCAACCTTTGCCCAGAAGGAACCTCTACAGACCTCAGAGGAGGCAGCAGGTCCCCAGTGCCAGCCTAAGGCCATTTCTGGGACCTGGACCAGATGTGCAACGGGGGACTCAGCATGACCCGAGGACCCAGATTTCTGGCTTCATTGATCTCTGTCACTCAACCTGGGCCATCCCCTGAGGCCCATGGAAGATGGAAGCTCTGTCCCCTGTTGCAATGACACTGACATCAAGTGATGGGGGAGGAAAGGTAAATTATGGAGAGTATCATGGGACTTGAATCCAATCAATAGTTAATATTTATTGAGGGCTTTGTGTGTGGTTGTATTTTTTAATACTCTTTTGTGTGTGAGTGTAAGAGAGTATTTTTGACTTGAAACTTGAGATAATTGTAGATCTTCATGCAGCTGAAAGAATAATACAGAGAGATTCTGCATATTCCCCAGCTCCCCTGATGGTAGCATCTTGCAAAACTGTAGTGCAAAGGTCACAGTGGGACACGACAGTGGTGCAGTCCACCAGTCTCATCTGGCCTTCCTAGTTTTACACGTGCTCATCGTGTGTGCGTGTGCGCGCGCGCGTGCACGTGCTTAGTGTTTGCGAGTCTATGTTTACGTAGCTTTGTGTTTCCACCACCGCAGTCACAACACAGTACAGGTCCATCACAAGCATCTCATGAACTGCCCTTGTACAGCCGCACCTCCCTCCCGCCGCCTCTGCCCCATTATTAACCCCGGCCCACTAATCTGTTGCAGTGCTAAAGTTTTGTCATTCTATAGAAATAGAACTGTACAGTATGCAATCTTTTGAGGTTGGCTTTTTCATTCAGGATCATTTCCTAGAGATTCATCCAGTTTATTGTTTGCAACAATAGTCCATTCCTTTTTTTTGTTGTTAATCCTCACCTGAGGATATTTTTCCCGTTGCTTTTCAGAGACAGTGGAAAGGAAGGAATGAGAAGGAGAGAGAGAGAGAGAGAGAGAGAGAGAGAGAGAGAGAGAGAGATATCTATGTGAGAGACACATCAATTGGTTGCCTCCTGCACATGCCCTGCCTGGGGGCAAAGAGCGAACTGTAACCCAGGTACGTGTGCCCTTGACTGGGAATCGAACCCATGACCCTTCAGTGTGCAGGCCAACGCTCTAACTGCCGAGAACACCGGCCAGGGTAACAGTCCAATCCTTTTGATCGCTGCCTAGTACTCCATGGTGTCACCTAAAAAAGGGCATCTCGGGCCTGTCTAGTTTGGGACTATTCCAGGTGAAGCTGCTGTGAACATTTGTGTGCAGGCTTTGTTCATTGGGATAAATGTTCAAGGGCACAATGGCTGGGTTGGGTGGCAGTTGCATATTTGCTTTTTAAGAAGCCACCAACTGTTTTCTAGAATGGCTAACGCATCACATCCCGATCAGGATCAGCAAGCCGCAGTGAGGTGGCTTCTCTGCCTCTTTGCAGGCATGTGGTGCTGTCACTACTGCTCGGCCATTCCGATAGGTATGAGTGACATCTCATGACAGCTTTCGTTTGCATGTCCCGGGAGGAGGATGATGTTGAACATCTTTTCATGTGCTTCTTGGCCACCTGCGTGTCCTCCTCGGGGAAAGGTCTGTGCGTGGCTTTGCCATCTTCTCACGGATACTCTGTTCTTTTACTGTTGGGTTTTGAAAGTCAGGGCCTCCTGAGTGCTGGGCACTTGATGGGGAAGAGAAATTCACACAACAGGCCAGGGCCAGCCCTCAGAGCTGACATGGGCAGAGGAAGCGGGAAACAGACAGAAAACGCATCAGAAAACTAATACATAAGATAAATTCAAACGCCATGCATGCTGTAAGGCACTGTAAGTGCTGAGATTCAGCCTGCATGAAGGAGGGCAACCTGGAGGTGAGGGGAACTCCTAGTACCTGACCTGAAGGGGGCCCGATAGAGAGAAGGGGTCAGCCTGGACAGTCCAGGGGATAAAGTGTGCAGGTGGAGGAGGGAGTGTGCAGGTGGAGGGGGGAATGTGCAGGTGGAGGAGGGAGTGTGCAGGTGGAGG